GAAAATGAAAACAAAACAGAAAAAAGGGCTTATAAAAGGCTAGGAGAATAGCTCAGTGGTAGAACACGGTTAAGCTTAACACAGACAAGGTCCTGCATTCCATCCCCCGCACAAACAAAATAAAACAAAACAAAACCGGCGGGGCATGGGGGCATATGCCTGTGTTATGGTTTATGTCTGGGTGTCCCCCCAAAGCCTCATGTGGCCATGGGGCAGGCCTTTACAGTTTGACTGATTATGGGTGTGAGAGCTACACCTGCCCTGGGGTGGATAGTTTACATCTGTAAGGGAGAGGAAGAGGGTGCTTCTGGCCATTTCCTCCCTTGTGTGTGTTTGTTGCTTTGCTGTGTTCTGCCGCCATGAGCTACAGCCCTCTGCCATGTGCCACTCTGCCTTGTAACTTGCCAAGTACAGACTGAAACCTCCACAAACTGTAAGCAAAATAAACCTTTCCTTCCTTAATTTTGGGCATCAGGTATTTTGTCCCAGCAATGAGAGAAAAGTAACCAAGACAGCCTGTAATCCCAGCACTCAGGAGGCTGAAGCATGAGGATAGTTGAGAGTTCAAGGCCAGCTGGGCAACAAAATGAGTTCAAGGCCAGCCTGAACTTTTGAAACCCTGTCTCAAAAAGAAAAAATAAATAAATAAACAACAACAAAAAAAACCCTTCTAAAACAAAGAAAGCAATGTTTCCAGGAGAGTTTACAGCTGTAAGATATCTCAAATGCATAAACTAAAGTAAGAAATTAGAAAAAGAGCAAACACTAAAATAAGTAGGAGGGAGGAAAAAAAGATGGTGGAAATTTATAAAACAGAATAGAAAATGACAGAAATCAATGAAGTTAAAAGGTAGTTCTCTGAAAAGATTAACAAAATTGACAAATCTTTAACTGTACTAACCAAAAAAAAGGAGAAAACTCAAATTAATAAAATTAGTAATAAAAGGTGATTATTGGTGACAATAATGTACTGGATTTACAGAACAAGAAATTATTTGGGGGGGCTGGGGATTTAGCTCAGCAGCAAAGTGCCTGCCTGGCAAGTGCAAGGTCATGAGTTTGATTCCTGGTACCGGAAGAAAAGACAAAAAAAGGAAAAAAAAGAAAAAGAAATGATTTTTGAATGACTTCATCATAAAGAAATGAATGTTTGAGGTGACACATATGCTTACTTGAATTTAAACATGATATAATTTATACATGTATCAAAACACTATGAAACATCCTATTAATGTGTACAATTTAATGTATTGTTAAAAATTTTTTAAAAGCAAGAGTGAAAGTGAGGACATCACTATTAATCTTACACAAATAAAAAAGATTATTAATGAATACTATGAATAACTGTATACAATAATTAGTTAATGAAATGGACAAATTCCTAGAAAGACACACGCTAAAATAAATGACTTAGGATAAAGCAGAACATTCAAACACATTGATAACAAATCTATTTATATCTAAAAATATCTATCTATAAGTCAAATATTTAACAAATAAAGAGAATGAACTAGTAACTGAAAATCTCACAAAGATAAGCTCAGGCCCAGAAGGCTTCCCTGAGGTATCCACCAAACACTGAAAGCAGAAACCCTTCCAAATGCAAAACAGGATTCACTCGCTAAGGCCAGTGTTTCCCTAATACCAAAATCAAACATATCACAAGAAACAAAAGCTACACACCAATAAACATACCTTATAAATATCAATGTAAAAATCCTCAACAAACCAACATAGACCTTATAAAAGTGAGATTATCCCTAAGATGCAATGTTACTCAACAAACAAAATCAATATAATACTCAATTAATAAATAACAAAAGACACACAATCATCTCAATCTTTGCCAAAAAAGCACTTGACAAAACTCAACATTCTTTCACGATAAAACACTCAATAAACAGAACAGGCAAATTCCCTCAACCTGATAAAGAGTAACTGAAGAACCCATAGTTAATAGGCTTAAGAGAAGACTAAAAACTTTCTCCTAGAATCAAGAAAAAAAACAAAGATGTCTCTTACCACTTACTTCTCCTAAATATTGTACTAAAGATTCTAGCTACACTATTTAGGCAAGATAAGAAAATCTAGACTGTAAAAGAAAAAGTAGAATTATTTCTATTTGCAGAGGACATGTGCACAGAAAATCTTAACTAATCCACAAAAAAAATTATTAGAATAAGCAAAGCTCAACAAAGATGTAGAATACAAGGTCAGTGTGCAAAAAATAAATGATATTCTTATACACTAGCAATGTATGATCTGAAAATGGATTTAAGGAAACAATTCTATTTCTAATAGCATCAAAAAGAATAAAAATACTTAGGGAAAAGTTTATAAATGATATGTAAGACTATACAGTAAAAGTCACAAATGCTGTTGACAAAATTTTTAAAAGTCCAAGTAAGAGGAAAGAAGAACAATATGGTGATACTTCCAAAAATTAATGCCCATCAGAGTTCTAGCTGATGTTTTTATAGAAATTAACAGGCTGATCCTGGACGTCAAATGAAAATACAAGTAACCCACAACAGCCAGAACACTCTTGAAAAAGAAAAAAAAGAATCAAGTTGAAAGACACATACTTAACCAATTTCTAAACTTAGAGCTACCATAATCAAGACAGGAATAAGTACTAGTGTAAGGAGAGACAAGATTAATGAAACAGAATTGAGAACCTGGAAATAAACCTTATATATTTATGAGCAATGGATCTTTGACAATGGTGACAAGACAATTCAATGAGAAAAGAATAATTTTTCCACAAATGGGGACTGCTGGATACCCACATGCAAAAGAATAAAGATGGACCTCCATTTTGAGCCATATATATAAATTAACTCAAAATGGATCAAAAACCTAAATGTCAGAAGTAAAACTATGACCTCAGAAGGAAACATAGGCATAAGTTTTTGACACTTTTGAGCAGACAGTGATTTCTTAGCTATGACACTAAAAGTACAAGCAATAAAAAAAAACAGAACTGGACTTTTTCAAAAATAAAAACTTTGTGCTTTAAAAGGCACTGTCAAGACCCCTTGGGCCACACACCCTGCAAAAAGTAAAAAGAAATTCACTGAATAGAATACACTTGCAGGGGCTGGGGACTTAGCTCAGCGGCAAAAGCACCTGCCTGGCAAGTGCAAGGTCGTGAGTTCGGTTCCCGGTACCGGAGAAAAACCAAAAAAAAAAAAAAACACTTGCAAAACATATATCTCATTAGGGACTAGTATCCACTAAGTGTATGTATAAATATGAATATATACAAACATATGTCATATGCATACATATACAGTAAATATAAAGAGAGAATTATTATGGCTCAAATATCAAGAGACAAATAGCTCACAACTGTGCAAGGAATCTTAATTCACATCTCCTTAAAAAAAAATATATTTAGAAAAGGCCAATTAGTAAGTGAAAAGACAGACAATATCAGCCTAGTATTAGAGTAATGTGAATCAAAACCCACAATCACATACCAATGCACACCCACAAAAATGTCTATAATAAAAAAGAGAGAATTAGAAGTGCTGAAAAGGATGTGGAAAAACTAGAAAATTTATATATTGATAATACAATGCAAAAGGATGCAGTCAACTTAGTGAATAATTTTAAAGTTCCTCAAATGTTAAACAGCTACACGCTGTTTAGCAGTTCAATTCCTACATATATCCCTAAGAGGACAGAAATTTATGCTCACACAAAAACTTAAATGTGTTCATAGCAATGTTACTCACAATAACCAAAAAATAAAAACAAAGGAAATGCCCATAAATTGAAGTGTATAACCACAATGTTATATGCATCTAACAGAATATTATTATCCACAAAAAGAAATGAACTATTATACATGCTATAACATTACACTAAATGGAAAGAGTCACAAAAGATATACTGCAGTTATATAAAATTGTATTCAGATGAAATGCCCAGAACAGGGATATCCACAGAGAGAAAGCAGATTAGTGGTTGCCAAGGGCTGTGAAGAGGGAAAAATAGGGAGTAACTATTGATGGGTTTTGAAATATTTCTGGAGAGTGATAAAAATGTTCTAAAATTAGACAGTAGTAATGGTTGCACAACTCTGTAAAATACTAAAAACCACTGAATTGCCTGTTTTTAAGAAATGGAATAGCAGTAGGTGTTTTCAAAATTCTGCAAGATTTTCAACCTATAAATCTATGTGTAAACTTTAATACTAGGAAAATAGTGAGTGGAACAGTGCATGGAAAAACATGGCGCTTGGGGGTGGGGTGGGAGGAGGGGAACACATGCTCTATTGGACACCTCAGGTGCTTTAATTCCTCAGCTTCTATTTAGAGAAAGCTAACATTTGCTATCTGAAATGTGAAAATGTCAAAAATAGCAATATTAGAAGACTACTCAGAAGACCTTAACTACCACAAGACACAATCAAAGGATTATCTCTAAGAAGTAACAGTCATAAATGGACAGGAACCAACAAATTTGATTTTTATTTTCTTTTCTTTATTTGATTATTTTAAGAAGAGAAACACCACTATATTTTTAAAAGAAACTGCCATGGGCAGTCAAAGGGTGGATTTCACAACCCATGGCATATATTCCCGGTGTGACTCAAAGCTGATCACTTAGTTCCCTCACCAAACTGAAGATAAAATTACTTGTACTCCTAACTAAGGAGCTGTTATGAGAAGCGAGATAAAGTAAAAGTAAATGGAAAAGTAATGTTTAAAAATGAGAAACTATTTAGTCTCTTCATCACACTGCAAATATTCAAATATTTCACTTATCATAGTGGCTGTTCAGGATTATTTTTGAATTGTCTGGCTCAGGATTTACTTGGATTAGGGACCAAAATAGAAACAGACTCTGGAGATAATTCCATAACCTGCCACATAAATGAAGCAATGTATTTATATATTAGAGACTAGCTCTCTTTCCCCTGAGAATTGTCTTCTAGAAATTATATATGTGGTTATCCATGAATGCCTGTACATTAGCTTAAAAAAGTTTACCTTCACAGTCAAATCCTCATTACCCAGTGTGACATGAACTTGAATAGGGGGATAAACACCTTTGTCAGCATGGTGTTCCATAGTTGCTCTCATTGCATTCTGAAATATATTAGAGTTATGTTAAAAATAACTTTTTAAAGAAAGAAATTAATTATAATTTTCAAATATATACGCATTATGGGAATTTAAGTATTTCAAAAATTTGAAGAAAAATGCTAAAGAATCATAATTCTTATAACCATATTTAAAGAGTTATGAGTAAGAATTGAGACAATGGAGGAGGACTGAGGGATGTGGTATACTGATTTAGAGTCCAACTAAATTCTGCCTGTTTTCCAAAAGTAAACTTCTAAACATTGGTAACAGTACTTAAAGTATTAAAGCAAAAAAATTCTGTCACTTTACAATTTTGATAATGGACAAAACTTATGTTGAAAATGTAATCTTCAGCTCTATTTTTAAAGAATCAGATTATGATAAAGTTCTTCAAGAAAAAAATTTTTCCATGCGGTACTAATAGCAATGGACTTATGATCATTTATGCTAACTTGTAACTAACAATATTTACATTTTAAAACTATTCTGACCAACTTCCAAAGGATATGTGGTGTGCGAAGGCAACATACTGTAAGCATTAAACAATAACAGGACACACAGCACTGGAGTAGAAGCAAAGACTAGATGCAACTACTAGGGAGTGTACATACAGCTCAGCGTTAAGAGCACTTGCCAGCACGAGCGAGGCTCTAGGTTCCATCCCAGCACTATTTTAAAAAAAGGAACTAAAAAAGGCAAAAGTCAGGACTGAATCTGGAAACAAGAGTGTGGCCCTGGCACATCACTCAAGACTGAACAGACCCAACAAGGAGTCTGCATCATTTCTACCAAAGCAGTTTAAAGTCAGGCTCCAAAGGCAAGCCACTCTTACAAAGGTTATGCAAAATATGTTAAAGATTATGGAACATTTTTATTTGCCACTACAGGGCACAAGGCCTTTATGTGATTGGAATTTTAAGGAAAAAATTAGTTTTAACACTTTAAATTCAATCACTATTTAATCATTTTGACAGATTTTTGAAGATGTTAGATGGATTTTTGCCATCTTAGAATAGTAATAGCATTCTTAACTCTTGTTTTTTTGAGGTATTCAGTCAGTTTCAGTGTATTTCTCATTTATACTGTTAGATGGAAAGCCATCTCTTCTTTCTTCTAATTTGCTGCTGGCTGAAGACACAATAAATAAAATATGACTCTACAGGTTTCTAATTTAGGGCAGTTGTTTTCAGCCAAATGGACCTATGCCACTCATCACCCCACCAGCAAACATCATTAGAAGGAAAAAAAAAACAAATATTCTCAACAATATCTACATAATTTTATTTAGTTTTCAAAAAATGTCATAAAGAGCAGATATAATGCAGAAGCCCTGTAAATTTATATGAATGACTTTCTTAAAACAAAAGAAGGCAGTTTTATCAATGGGGCCCACGGGTAAAAAGGTAGAAATCATTCCTTTAAATATGTTTATAAAAATACCACAACTTTTTTGAGCACCTGTAATGGGTTACTGCTGTTTCAGACATTTAGTACATTATTCCCAATTTTTTTTTTTTTTTGAAACAGGGTCTCCCTGTACAGTTCAGGTTGGCCTTGAGCTCACTTTGTAGCCCAGGCTGGTCTCGAACTTACAATGATCCTCCTGCCTCAGCCTCCCGAGTGCTAGGGTTATAGGCGTGTGCCACCACACCTGGCTTCCAATTTTTTTTTTTGAGAGAGGTTCTCACTATGTAGTCCAAGCTAGCCTCGAACTCATAGAAATCCTCCTGTCTCAGCCTCCTGAGTGCTGAGATTACAGGCATGCACCACCATACCCACCTTCAATCTTTATAAATAACCCTGGGTAGTTAGTTTCCTTACAGAAAAGGAAACTAAGGTTCTGAGGGATTCAGTAACTTGCCCAAAGTCACATACATACTGACACAAGTGAGACTCAAACACAGGTCAAAGCTTTTGTGACTTCAAAGCCTGACTTCATCCAGGTGTAGTGGTGCTTCAAACCCAGCACTCTGGGAGACAAAAGCAGGAGGATTGGGAATCTCAGCCCAGCCTGAGTAACTCTGTCACACAGTAAGGCCCTGTCTCAAAATGAAAGATTTAAAAAGGGTTGGGGATGTAGCTCAGTGCAAAGGGCCTGGGTTCAATCCCAGCCCTGTGGGGTGCAGTGGGGTGGAAGCCTGAACTCAGCACATGGAGGTGTCCAACCATACTGATGAAAGGCTGTTCTGCAGCAGCGTGACATGATAGGGCATGAAACAGCATGTTCTAATGAAACAGAACCCAAGGAATATCTGACTTTCCAGATTCCTATCCTCAGAAGGGACTGATAAAGGTTATGTAATACTATTTTACAAACCTTGAAAAGTTCAAACACCATGTGATAGAGATGGGATGGTACATAAACCACTTGTATTGGCTGTCCTGGTGATTTTGCTACAGAGCAGAAGAGAAAAATATGAAAGTACAGAGAGATGTGCGTAAAGCATTTTTAAGAATAAATTGTGTAGTGATGAAAAGAAAACATTAACTATGGAAGGCAGTATTATTTGGAAGAACTGCTATACCATTTCTTTACTGTGCTAGTGTTTGAACCCCACACTCATAAACATTTATAATTGAGAAAGACCAGAGCCTGTGATCATTTCTCATAATCCGGCATGACAATTTAAGCAACACATCCTCCCATCCTTCTCTATAATGTTAAGTCTTTTTACAGGATACTCAACATTGATTGAATCTTATTTCCCAAAGACAAGTCTTAAAGTCTATAAATCAGTCTCATTCACATTAACACATTTTTTTAAAACAGCCAATTTCTGCATATTTCACCTAGATGGAATATTGTCTATTTTTATTTCAGTTCAAGAAAATTTAGCCAGTGTGGTGGCACACCCTGGTAGTCCCAGCACTTAAGAGGCTGATGCAAAAGGATCACTGTAAGCTCAACGCCAGCCTAACTACACAGTGAGACCCTGTCTCAAAATAAAAAAACAAAAAAATTTTAAACTAGCATCAGTTTCTCAAGGGATACTAATTCTATATTCAAACATTTACTAGACATTTACTAGACTCCACTGGGAGTGGGGAATGGTAGGCTGTGTGCATGTAGAATAGATCTACAGCATAGCAAAGGGATGAGACTCATCATACTTCAGAATAATTTAACCAATAAATCAATACTAAATTCGACCAATAAATCAGACTCTCCTCTGAATAAACTCCCTCTTGGGACCACAAATGGGACTACTGGAAAATGCCCATAGCAGCTCATGTTCCCAAACTACCACCCGTGCATTGTGATTCTTTTTAGAATTTCTATTTTCACTGGTAGTTTCTACTGCTCTTTAACTATAAAGTCCTAAATACAGCTTAGTAAAAGCTTCTTTGTAATTTTATTCTTCCACCAACTTTTTAAAATGTCTTCTTAGCCAGGGAGGTTGGTGTATGCCTCTAATCCCAGCACTCTAAGAGGCAGAGGCAGAACTACAAATTTAAGCCCAACCTGGGACACTTAGTAATTTAGCAAGACCCTGCCCCAAAATTTAAAAAATAAAAATAAAACAGGCTGGAGATGGGCTCAACTCCAGGTACTCATCCCCACCTTAACCTCTGATATCTTAATCTCTGTGAAACTACCATACCTCTAGGAGAAACAATAAGACTCATCAATCGCCTTTCTAGACATCTAAAACCTTTTTTATTCAAAAGGCACTAGTCAGAGTGAAAAGATAACTAGGGAAATAGATCCTCAAAAAGATGAGGATCTATTTTCTTTACTCTTTTACATCTCCAGTCTTTTCATTCCTTATCAATAAAAAATGACTTACAACTCAGGAAATAGAAAAAAGGGTAAGCCTTACATTACTGAAGTATACATAAAAGTTGAACAATTTTAACGAGGTATGGGGACACACGCCTCTAATTCCAGCACTCAAAAGGCTGAGGCAGGAGGATTGGTGTGAGTTCGAGGTCAGCCTGGGCTACATAGTGAGTTAAAAACCAGCCCAAACGGCATAGTGAGACCCTGTCTCAAAAAAAAAGTCAAGTTCCTTACCATCATTTTTTCTGTGACTATCCAGAAAATTAAAATTAAGCAAAGAATAAGCATTATCAATTAAAAATAAGGAAAATGGAACAGAAAAAGTTTTTTGTAAGGACTCCAATTAAATTATATACATATAATTTGAGTCTTTATGAAAAAAATATATTTAAAAAACGTAATTGCTCTTCTTTAGCATTAATGTCCTCTGAAGAAGTTGATGAAAATGTCCTTTCCTATCAAAACAAATCTAAGTTCTCTTATGATTTCTTTTCAGGTAGTCATAATACCAGTCATTGAGGAAAAGACATCAAGCTTACCATTTAGTTCTTCAAGTTCTAGTTCAGGAGAGTTAATATAATACAAATCACACAGACGCCTAGCATTTTCATAGCCATCTAGTGTGAATTAAAACAAACAAAAAAAGCATTAAACAAATGTACTTCTGCTTCATGTGTTGAGATAGAGATAGTATTGACAAATAAAAATTTAAAACTCCCTATAGAAGAAAATATACTTCAATGATCTTAGTCTGAGGCAGGTCTTTCTAAAAATAACAGGATAACGGCTAATAGCCTAATAACAAGAAAAATGAAAGATTATAACTATAAAAAATTAAAAACATTACATGGGAAAAGATACCATAAACATGTCAAAAGAAAAACAGCTGGCTAAAGAAAATATATATAAAAATACTGAGAGATACACTGAAATTTTTTTAAAGTATTTATTAATTAAAAATTTTCAATGCATTTGAATGTTTTTAATTCTAGGAATCTGCCTTATAAAATACTAGTAATAACCAGCATATACTTAAGGATGTTCACTACAGTGTTGTTGGTAACAGAAACAAAAAGAAAATAAACTAAGTGTGCGTCAGTGGAGAATAGATTAATACATACTGATATACTCTACACAGCCACTAAAAAACTTGCCATTATATTCAAATGTACTGACATGGCAAGATGTCTGCAAACTTGTATAAAGCACTCATTTTCTAAAAACAAAAAAATGTAATAACAATTTGTACGTGTATATCTACATGTGGTATAAACAAAAAAAAAGTGTGAAAAGATGTAAATCAAACTGTTATGAATTATTGCTTAAGAAAAATAAGCCAAAAACTGTGATTAGAAACTGGAGTGTAGAGATGAATTTTTTAAGTGAACAGACAGTCCAAAACTATCACAAAACTTTTCCTAATATAGAATTTTATCAATAAAGCATTCACCTTATACATACTGCACAATTCATGTTATAAAGGGCTTTTCAAACCCATATATTTGTTCCTCACATTTCATCTCATTATATACATAGTAGTACAAATAGTTGTTTGAATCACAAGAAACAACACTCCACAGTTCTGATTTCCTTTTAGAAAGGAGAAATATGTTTACCTTTAATAACTTCAACTACATCACAGTTTGGATTTATGCTGCCAATGTGTTTTCGATGAGATGGACTTCCTTTTCCCCCAAACAATAAGGCTAGTAAAAGATAAAGAACATAAAATGAATCCACCTGTCATTTCCAGATATATTATTTCTCCAAATGGTGCCAAATAGAACAATTGTTTTCCTTAAGCATAAATATGTCATTTTTATGTTCAATAAAAATACTCCTTTGTACCAGCAGTCTATTTATTTTTCTTAATAAGCAAGAAAAAAAAAACACTAAATGTTCTCTCTAAAGGGAAATTTTCTAAATAAATTTAAAATACATCAACATTTTAGTTATCTTTCTCTCTTGATTTTAGAACACTTACAGTGCTGATTGAGTAACATTCTAATTGAAATGCGACTCATGTAGAACCGATCCAAAAAGTACTGAACATTCTGGATGGTGACAGGATCTACCCCAAAGCTCTCCTTGTATTCAATCACACCCTGGGCCATGGTGGGAATGACATCATTGTGTCGGTTTCGGATTCGTATCACAGTATCTGTAAAGCTAAACAAACCTGTTTGTACAAAGAGCCAAATATTTTGACAAGAGAACTTAATACTAAAATATAAGCTTAATCAAGCTTAAAAGACAAGCCCCTGTCTCAATAAAATGAACATCACTGCATGTCTTCTGTGTACTTAAATATACTTCATATCATACAATATGCCAAGGTATAAGGACCTCTGAAATAAAACTTTCAAAATTTAATTTTTAGACTCCTAAAAGTAAGGCTGCCACACAACAAAATCATAAATATGTTAAGAGTTTCCTTTAGCCATTTTCAATCAAGGCCATCTCAGCACTCACTCTGAGGAAGGCATTCCAGGGACATCCTGCGTAAGAGAAGGTAGAACGCTGGCTTCTAGGGAAAACATGCTCCGTAAGGAGTAAAGATGAGTAAGACAATAAAGCCTGTCTGCTTTGGAACAGAGAGAAAGCACCCTTAGAACAGAAAAGTAACAAAAGAACACTAATTTCATTCATCCTGTAAGTTTACAAACTGGCAGAAGAAAAGTGTCCACTTTATTAAAAGAAAAAATTTCAAATCAGACTGCCTTCCCATTTCTGTCACTAGGTAGACACTGGATGATTAATTTAAGGAACCAAAAAAAAAGAGGAAACAAGCCTTAGTTATGAAAAAACTGGTCTCTTCACATACCAATCAGAATTTGGACTTCCAAATGAGTACTCTCCCAGGTAAGAGTTAGTATCCTGAGGTCTATTAACTTATTCCAATGTTTTCACTACTCAAAACATTTCTGGAATTCCTACTTTGTAATTACCTTCTAAACCAAACTGTTAAAGCAAAATGCAAACAACAAAATTCCTCGAAAACAACAAATTTATAATTCTAGTCCCTCTTTATTTCATCTCTTAAAAAAATGATTATTCTACATGACTGATCACTTTATTTTCTAGGTTCAGCTTTGAGTGACTGTTTTTAGAATATTCTATCACTTCTACAGAGGGTTCTAATATTTACTTTTAAGTAAGGATGCTTCAGTCCAAATTCTAATCTTGCCTCTTGCTAGCTACATGACCTCAAGACACTTATTCTCTTTGTGCACAAATGCATTACCTCAGTTGTTATTTTAATCATTAGACAACGTCACTCATGTACAGTCTGCTCCACACCCATGTCCAGAATAAACTCTGACATACATTATTTTCAGACCAAAACTATGTTTAAAAAATGAAGTGTTGTCACTCCCTTTAAAGACAGTCCAATAGATAGGTGACATTCTACGGACAAGAGCTGACCTTTCTGTTGTGAGCAACATTCACTGGAATAAGTAGGTAACTGCCTGAGGTGACCACTTGGTCTTATCAATTCAGTATGCTGATTATGAAATTATGTTGTATTATATACTTTACCTTACAGATCACAGGTGATAGAAATCCACTGTCATGTTTTTATAGCCCTTCAGTGTAACAAAAGGACCGTAATTAGTTGCCAATCTTTTAAAATTGAGACTTTCACATTAAAAATCTAGACTTGGAGCTTTCTCTAAGAACAGAAAAACTGATGACTTGTGCAGTATTTCCATATGGAAATGACTAACAGGAGCTGAGGGTGGCTCTCTGATGAAGAGACACATACTCCCCAGGTTTACAATTCAAGTGGTGTTCTTGTCACCTGTAGATTCTCATGGATCATCACACTTGAACTTTGCCTTACAGTAAAAAGGATCATGAAACATTTATATAAATACATCTACTACCATTTCCTTAAAGTAGTGGAAGTTTAAAAACTAATCAATTTCTGTAATGTGGTCAAATAGCAGGTTTAAGTTTAATACATTTACATTTTTATATAATGCTTAAAAGATACAAAAATTCTGTTGAGGATAATAACCCTATTCAGCTTAATACACTTAATTTTTATATAATGTTTAGAAAAGTATAATTTTATATAATGCTTAAACTAGTAATACTGTTCAGAATGGTAAGCTAACGTACTTACTCATAAATAGTTTTAGCATCTTCAGCACTTTTATCCTTAAAATCAAGAAGCTCTTGAAGACTCTGGATATACCTAAGATACAAATCCAAAGGTTAACTTTGTTCTTTTGTATTCCAAAAGTTTAATACTGTGAAAATTAACTCAAAGGTTATTTTAAACAGTTTATAATTTTAAATTTAGAATACTGCTACAAATTAGCAGTTGAAGCAGGATTGTTTTGCTTTTTTTTTGAGACAGGGTCTCACACAATGTAGTGCAAGCTGGTCTTGAACTCATGGCAATCTTTCTGCCTAAGCCTCCAGAGAGTAAGGTAGGATTTTTTTTTTTTTTTTTGGTTTTTCTCCGGTACCGGGAACCGAACTCACGACCTTGCACTTGCCAGGCAGGCGCGTTGCCACTGAGCTAAATCCCCAGCCCCAAGGTAGGATTTTTATAGCCATTTATTTTTAAGCAAAATCTTGGGCACAAGGCAGTAGAAGTACATTTTTTTCCTTTAAAAGTACAGGTCAGCCAGGTGTGGTGGTGCATGCCTGTAATCCCAGCACTTGGGAGGCTGAGGCACGAGGATCACTGTGAGTTCGAGGCCAGCCTAGGCTACAAAGTGAGCACAAGGCCAGCCTGAACTGCATAGCAAGACCCTGTCTCAAAAAGACAAAAATAAACAAATAAGCAAAAGTATAGGTCAAATATGATGTAGGAGTTTTAAACTCTTTATCCTAAACTAGTTTTTAAATCTTTAAAACTCTACTATATTTTATGGTATAAATAATGATTACTATGAAAATTCAATCTGTCACCACTGCATCATCTTAGACAAACGACTTTCTCAGTCTTAGTAAAATGAGGAGGCCACTCCACCAGGCTCTAAGACTCTAAATTTAATCTCTCATATCCATAATCCTAGCAGAGAGGGAAGTGAGGGGGCAGGAGGATCATGAGTTTGAGCCATGCTTCAGCAACTTAATGATTCAGCAAGACTCTATCTCAAAAATGTTAAAAGTGGAAGGATTTGCAAAAGTTTGTACCTTAAAAGCATAGTTTTACATGTTTATGTCTAGTCAATGAAGATTTATTGAAAACCTGCAATCTATCATATGGTTCTTTTAAACAGAACTGAATAAAAGTACAATAATCATGAAAATGTAGGTGTTCAGTACCTTACAATCCAAGGTGGCAAAGCGCAACAAAAGAACTTCTGCTGTACACTATTTTCAGGACAAAATCACGTTTAAAAACATGAAGTTTTGCCACTCCCTTTAAAGACAATCCAATAAATGTGTAACATTCCGATGTAACAACCCAAGGTAACAAAAACAACAAAAGGCCAAGTGACTTTCTCAAGGTTATCCAGCCACTACAGGGTCCAGAGCTAAAAATTCTGAACCACTGAGTTACCCTCTTAAACAGTTGCCTAACTCTTCCCTAGCTAGTTAGTCTGTAAGCACTTTATCTACCACTGTCCTAACTGATTGGGCATAAAGGACCAATGAAAGTAATTTTAAAATCTGTAAAGTCACATGTTGGTTTGAAAAGCTATTTCTGACAAGCAGTATGTCTCCCTGCATTTCAAGTCAAGTGACTCTAGTAGCTGTGGTTCTACTTTAACCATTAACAGTCTCTTCAGAGGCAAGAAAAAGTATGCTCTGCTCTTTAAGAAATACTTCTGAATACTTATCCTGTACTAGGCAAGACCAGATTTTTTAAAACACCATATGCTATTTACAATTTTAACAAACTGGAAAAAATATCCTCAGAAAATTGTGTTTTCTTTTTTATATTCCATCAATCTCCAAAACAATGCCTCTCACCTTTGCCACATTTGTAATTGCTCCACACTTGGACTAGATAGCATCTGATTATCATACATGTACAGTCATACTACTTCTTTTGCTCATTTTTTAAACTGATGTTAGAACAGCTTCTCTCACAAACTCTACCACCCACAAAAGGAAAAGTACATCTCCATGAATCATAATTAGAAAATGTCTTCTAGTAAAATACGTCCACATAAGACTTAATTCTGAACAGCTTTTTTCTTTTACTTTATAGCGCTTAAAAGAATACTTCTTTTTTTTGTTGTTTTTGTTTTTGTTTTTGTTTTTGTTTTTTGGTTTTTCTCCGGTACCGGGAACCGAACTCACAACCATGCGCTTGCCAGGCAGGCGCTTTTTGCCACTGAGCTAAATCCCCAGCCCCCTTAAAAGAATACTTCTTAATGTAATGGCATTAATAATAGCTGTAAATAAGTGGCCACATATGAATGTACACTCTTAAGACCTTTCTTAAACCGGGCATGGTGGCACACCCCTGTAATCCCAGCACTTGGGAGGCTGAGGCAGGAGGAATATTTCGAGTTCGAGGCCAGCCTCAACTGCATAGTGAAACCCTGTCTCAAAAAAGACACTTCCTATAATTTGTGGGAAATCGGTTTCTATACTATTCCATTAACTTCTATCTATTTTAAAGTGGACAAATATGATCAGTGCATGCTGTATGTACATATTTAAATAGCACACTGAACTGCATTACAATGTAGAATAAATATATATTAGAACAGAGGAATAAAAGTTTTAATTTCTGTGATTGTAAAAAGATACACTTCAATAAAATAAATTCCATTTATAAAGAATATGTAGAATCTTGAATACATTTCATCAATCCCATGAGAATATGGTATAACAAAGACAAACATGGGTCTGAATCCTAGCTCCAGTATCAGTGGTGTACACTATTGCCTTAGGCAAAGGACTTTACCTTCAGGTGCCTCAGTTTCCTCATCTGTAAAACAGAGTTAATGCTACCTATAGAGCAGGGTTCTTGAGCAATTAAAGGTAATATATATAAATATCCACCATCAAATGGTAGATTTTTTCTTATATCAAAATATAACATCCCTTCAGATTTAATAACAAAGCTTCAATTTACTGTTCATATTTTCACATGGGTCTGTTTGGTTTTTTCAAAACTAAGAAGTGGTAAAGTCCAGGAGCGAGAGAACAATCCTAGCTAACACACAGGCCAAGCCTAGGTACACGTGCATGTGTACATACACGTGCGCACAGCACAGGATTGCGGTCATTACCTTAATTTCTACTGGAAAGTAAAATAAGCATTCGTTTTAACCTTGAATGAAGTCCAGAGTTCCACTGAAACTGCAAACAAAACATGGGAATCTTACCAGCTTTGTACCAGTTGAACGGATGGCGTCCTGAGAAGATTATCTGGAAGGAGACTTATTTCTTTCATTATATTTGCCAATCTAACAGGCAACTCTTGCCGAAGAAACATAAATGAGGTCTTTTCACAAGCATTCCCTGATCCTGAAACCAAAACAGTGAGAAAATTAGTTAAGTAGAAGCTATAATGCAACAGAAGCCAGGAAAGAGGGAGAAATACAGGGGGAGTTAACCCAGCAAATCCAGCGTGATATGACCACCATGACGACCAGAGGAGACCAGTAGGCAAAGATACTAACTCTAACACTAAGTCCAGGCCTAAAAGAGGAGAGATGAGATAAGCCAATCTCTAAAGTTAATGTAAATCCACAATGACCTTCCAATTCCTGATAACTTCAGGGCTCTGGATGGCAAATAAGATATGCTCAGCTGGGCATGGTGGGCTCAGATACAGAAGCATGCCTGTAATCCCAACACTCTTTGAGAGGCTGAGCCAGGAGGATCACAAATTTCAGCCCAGCCTGAGCAACTCAGAAAAACTCTGTCAAAAACTAAAAAATTTAAGAGAAGATGGAGACTGAGGATGTTGCTCAGTGCAAAGGTACAGCTCCCCAATATTACAAGGAAAAAAATAAAGAAAACTCTCCAGATTCTTCTGTTTCGCTTACTTCCATTCTTACAACCTACTTTAAAACTAACATGACATGAGCATGCCTGAGTAAGACTCAGGGACCAGTAATAGAACCTGAAAAGGCCTGTCCTATGTGTCCTGTTGCTACTATCATTGAAAAAAAGTCTGTTTCCTAACATTAGGTTTATAAAAAGTGAACACCTAAGATACAGCAAAACTCTCACCTGTGCAAAGGAAAATTCACCATATAGCACCATTAAGACTGATTTCCATGAGTTGAGAATAAGTGCAGAGAAAAGCTTTCAAACAACAGAAAGAAAACACACACACACACACACACACACACACACACACAAAACCCCCCAATGCTTGTTCTTCAACCACCTTCAAGGAATATCTACTCAATTGTCTGATTGCTAAAAAGGCACCGGGCCCTTTCTCCACTCTGAATCAGGATGCTAAGCAGACTAGATATAAAATGTACATGGCAGCTGCCCTTAAAGCTAAACCAAAATGTCCTATTATTTCACCAACTCATTTCAGACAAATTCAGTCATGTTGCTTTACCAGACACAACCTTAGCAAAAACTAGACTACCAAGACAGAAATTATGGCAATAACGTAAAACATCCACTTGAGAAAGTTTCAGGAAATGCCTATGAACGAGGTTAAATTCCGCCCTTCACTACATTATAATCATTTTAAAGTAAAAACAAAAGCAAGGGCTTTGAGCTGAAAAAAAAATCAAAAGCAAAAAACAAAAACAAATAAAAATCCCCAAACCTCACCACCGTAATCCACAGTTTTAAAATAAAGCTGCCTGCCATGGTGTTCTCTTTCAAACCAACCAGCAATGCATGGCAGTGACGTGATAGCACGTAGCATGGGGAAGATAACTTCTACTCGAACTGTAACACTCTGCGCGTTGGTTAGGGTACTTCCCCCATCACCCTCACATGAGAAGTCAAGGCAAACGGCTAACTGCAATTCCTTGTGCAATCTGCTCCAGAAAAAACCAAGGTGCGAAGTGGTGAACCCACGGCCCCTTGTACTAGTGCACTTTATACATGCTCAAGACTCACGCGCTGCTGCTGAAACGAACGGGCAGCTGATGCAAACGCTCTCAGGGCACTGTCAGGGAAAACATTCTAAAGAAACACTGGGCCGGCGATAACTTGTTTTTCCTATCACCGTGCGTGCCAGTTCGACGCAATCATCGGTCGATTGCATTTCCCATCGCTCTGCAGAATCCGAAGGTGACACCCAGGCCCTCGGCCGAGCCCAGCTCGGGGGAAGGGGCCCGGCCGCGCCGCGCACCTGCACACGTGCGCGCTAAGGCGGGGACTTCATTCTGCCTGCGTCCCTCAGGCTTTATTTTTCGACAACAGCGGGTAAGAAGCCCCACGTCCCGTTACCGGCTGCGCGCGCCAGCACCCGCAAGGGAGGAAGCGCTAGGGCGCAGGGGAGCAGCCAGGAACCGAGCGAGCGGGTGAGCGCGGGCCCCAGTCCTCGCCCCGGGCGGCGCACAAAGGCCCGCCGCGGGCGGCACTCACCGAAGTCCAGGAACTGCTTCATGGACAGCGGCGACGGCGAGAAGCGCGCGTAGAAGTCCACCTGGCCAGGAAGGCTTCGGTCCGGCGCGGGCCCGGAGCCGGAGTCTGAGGTGAGGCTGCGGCTGGCGCTGGGGTGGGCGGCGCGCGGCCCAGGCCTCGGTCGGGCCGAGGCGGCCCCGCGCAGCAGCCGCGTAAGCTTCATGCCGAGCCCGGCCGGAGGAGCTGAGTCCCCGGCCCAGCTTGCGGCTCGGCGCCGAGGCCGGCGGTACGTGAGGGACGTGTCTGGCCGCGGGGGCGGCGACCGCTGTCAGGGCCGCGGGCCCGCCCCTCGCCAGAGCCCGGCCCCGCCCCTGGGTGGAGTCGGGAGAAGGACGGAGGCCGGGAGGGCGCGCTCGGCGTAGCTCCGCCCTGTGGAGGTGGGACGAGCTGCGGCCAGCGCCTCTCCAGCTCGTGGGATACCACGGGTGGCCGTTGGCATCCCAGACAGTTTTGTCCCACCTACAGTGTGGCGCGCCGCGTTCCCACGCCTTTTTGTAACAGAGTCCACCTTCTTTTTTTATATGATGAGGTTTATTGGTACATTTTAGATATACATGATGCTCATGTTCATCGTAGGGAATGTGTACCTGTACTTGATATATTTTGATTTCTCTTTTTTTCCCCAATCCCCTCTCCTCCCTTCAACTCGTCTTCCCTCCCCTATTTACAAAGCTGTGTTTCCATTTTATCCTTTTTTTAATCGGTCATTTTCCCTTTTCCCTTCGCTTCCCTCCCAACCTCAGCAGCCCACAGATTTTAGGACGCGCCACCCCTCCGCTTGCGGGTGCCCTTGGTGTCCGGCTGGGAGCGCGTCCCTGAAATGCCCGTCTGTGGTGCAAGTCCCACGCTTACCATCGTGTGTGTGCTGGGGTGAACTCAGGGCCTTGCGCATGCTAAGTGCTCTGCAACTGAGCTACCTCCTCAGGTAGAGCTACATCCTCTGCCGAGCCCCACGTTTTGGAGGTGACAAAACAGACCTGGAGAGCTAAAGGCGCCCTCCCTTGCCAAACTCTGGTACATAAATACAGTATCACAGCAACTGCAGCCCCCAGAAGAGCATTGGCAGCCCAATTTGTAGCGCTCTCCGCAGGCATTCTCGGCATGGTCATTGGTGTGTTTAAAGGGTCCCTCCGCTGTGACTGGCTTCCTCTTCACTGACCTCTTAAAGTCACTCTGGCCACTCCACCCTTCATGTTTCTATAAATAATTGAAAGGAGTGGACAATTTCTAATAATAGTTTAATCTTACACAGCTGCAAAGGCTGCAGGTTCTGTTATAATTCACTTGTTTCCACTACTGCTTCCCCATATAACCATATAGTACGTCATAGATGCAATGAAGCTTTTACTGTTCACTGCAGTAAAACAGTAACCGCTACAGAATAACACTTCATTTTTCCAAGGTAATCGGGTCTTGAGTTGTAAAAAATAAAAAAGAAGAAGATGATGAGTGTCTCTTTTTTAGGTTGTATTAGTCCAACAAATTGTGTTTAGCGTGAAGGAACACTGACTGCCTGAAAACGTGTGTAGGTGGTGGACTTGTGGAGAAGGAAAGTAATTTTTTCTTCAAGCCTCATGAGTCCTTAGAACTGACACCTATTACAAGAGGATGAACAACAGGAAGACAAACATGTTTATTAATGTGTATTTCACATATACATGGGAGATATCCAGAGAGTAATTCTCAAAAGGTGACCTTGAATTCATACATATGTACAGTAGAGAGCTGGATATATATATATAAAGTTTTAACAAAAATAGTAAACTTTTAGAGAAATGTCAAGACAAAGGAAAGACTTAAATCTCTTTTATAAATAGCAGTTTCCTTTACTAAAGAACAACTTGTGCCCTGTTTTTTGTAGTTCTTCCTGTCCTGGGTTTCCTGTTTTTTTCTGTGGCCTGTAGCTCAAAATAATGCAAATACCTAAAGAATATTTTGGGGTAGCATAGTCTGGTGCCCTTCAGTACCGTATCTTCCAGTACTGAAGAGCCTGTTCCATGGAAGGAGGATTAGGTTTGTTCTGGGCAGCCCAGACAAGAACAGATGGAAGACTTATGAGTGGAAACTGGAGGGAGACAGATTTGATTCAGCAGGGAACACTTTCACTGTGAAATGAGCAGCCTTATAGGGGACGGGGCTACTTATCAATGATCTTTAGTTAAGAGATTGCACAACAGCTTTATAAGGATGGTGCAGGAAAGTTTATGGAACAGTGTGGTTTAAGGAGAAGAACTAGGGTTTTGTTTTCAAATCTTGGCTCTGCAGTGTGCTGGCTCTGTACGCTTGCATGAGTTTCTTGACCTCTCTGAGCCTAGGTCTACTCACCTACAAAAAGGAGCGTAACTATTTCACCAGGCTACTGTGACATAGACAATATAGCTGTTTGTGTTAGCAAAATGTCCAGGACATACTAAACACTCAATAAATCATACCTATCTGTGTTACTACTGATCTTCATTATTTCCTTGTTAGTGGAATAAGGATTTAAGAGCTAGTCCTGCAGATGCCTAATGGGTAATTAAAAGCACGATAAAGGTTGGCATCTCTGCTTTTATTGTTTATGTCTCCTGATTAAAGTTTGGATCAGAGCCCTACTCAGTCCTAAATATGGGTATTGGTTAAGGAGTATTACAAGGTTTATTAGCCTTAAACTTACCTAGTCTATTTCTTTCCCCTCAAGACTGAGGACACCAAGATAAAGAGTAACTAATTTTTAGGATTGTCAGGGACATCTGCATTACAACATACAGGTCTACATCTTCTGAAGAGATGCCTAGAAATCTAAACTTGCGGCCACCTCAGATTCTAGGAAAAGCAGAGGCCTCCCAGACCACACTATGATAGGAACAATTATCCCATGACTGGGAACTAAGGCTACTCCCCCAAAGCAGGAGGCATCATCTCATGGTGGGAACTGAATTGGTCCCTCAAGCAGTGATGGCCCTTCCAGGTGCCCCCAGACCCAATTCTGAGATACTCATTGCCCAGACTATAGCTTGACCAGGATTATCTATGCTGCCAGCTGTGCAGCCCCCCAGCCCTGACCTTTACTCTCATTGTCTATAAAACCCTGAGAGAACTGCAGCCATCTTCCGTGATAGGGAGGACCTGAGCTCCTCTGACGATGAGAACAGCTGAGTTCATATCAGGAAAACCAGTATGACAAACTTCTCCAGGAGAATCAACAGCACACATCTTCCCCTGCAGTTCTGCTTTTATGTGGCTGGCAACAATTCTCAGGTGGGCCTTCCACATCCAGCACCATGCTGACTCAGTTCAACTGGGTGTTACAAATTGACCATTAGGTAATCCACCACACTAAGTAATTTTCAAAAAAGGTAAAGTCAAGAATCCATGTAGCTGTAAAGTGAACACAGGCCCAAAATTATATTTAATACATTAATTAAATGAGGGAACCAGAAAAAAAATGTTACATATCCAAAGGAGAAATCAAACAGGAATACAGGGAAGAATTTGCACAATCTACAAAACTGGCTTTTTCCTTGAGATCAGGGAGGGTGATCTCTCTCCCTGACAGGTTTATGTGCATTGTTCTGAGTTATTTGCAATTTTCAGCATTATAAAACAGCTCAGAGGCAATCACATACCCTGGAAAGTTTTAACTTTAAACAAGGTCTAGCATTCCACCAAAGCAACCCCCGCCCCAACATTTGTCTTCTTCCTCCATCATTCAGGTCATTACTTGTGCAGTGGTGTAGAGGCCATGCTATTCACCAGGATTTGTTTTAGGGGAAACCTAGTTTTTATTATTCAAAATACTTTGATCTGTGGCAGGAAGTGCTGAGAGAGATCCGCTTGGAAGGCTCACGTATAGCTCTGCGGGAAGCCTGGACAGGAATTCCCTTTGCAGAGAGGTGAAGGGGAGGAGGGAGGAGATTGCAGAGGCTGGCTCACAGTGTAAGGCCCACATTTATTTTTAAAACTGGAGGGAGAGTTGCTGAGGCTGGATCTTTTGTGCCTTTGTGAAAACTAGAGGAAAAGATGGATTTTTTTTTTTTTTTTTTTCATAAGAATTGGAGTCAATGGAAACAGCGTTAGCATCCAAGGAGTCTAGGCAGGAGCATGATGGGAACTATGCAGTAGTAAAGCCCTAAGAACTCATCAACATGGACAAGGGGAACTCTAAACTTGGACCAACTGGAGATGGCAATGCTGAAAGACAAACTTAGGCACATTAAAAATTGAAAGACTGTTTGAGCAGACATCAGTCATTTCGTGAACTGGGCAGCTCCAGGCTGCACGTCGTTGCAGGCTCCAATAAAGGGCACAAGAAAAGGCAAGATGAAGAAAATACTTGATTGGTTAAAGTGGAGCAATACTTATCTGGATCATTCCAGAGGGAGGAGCCTAAGTAGAAGTTAGTTGGCAGTTTGGGTATTGTTTATGTTGGAACCCAGGGCCCTGGAACTCCCTCAGTATAATGGCATCATAATGAATTATTTTAATCATAATTTGAGCCAACATCTCTGAGGGCCAAGAAATCTCTTAGGTCTGAATTATACATGAGAGACAAAAATATCCTTGCTAATGTGGTTTAAATATTGTGTCCCCCAAAGACTCATATATTGACTTGTCATGTTGGCACATGCCCGTGATTCCAGTTACTCAGGAGGCTGAAGCAGGAGGATTCCAAGTTTGAGGCTAGCTTGGGCAACTTAGCAAGACCAAATCTCTCTCTCTCTCTCTCTCTCTCTCTCTCTCTCTCTCTCTCTCTTTCTCTCTCTCTCTCTCACACACACACATACACATGCACACACACATACACATGCACATTCACACACATTGAGGGTGCTAATCTCATTGAATGGATTAATGCACGGATGAGTTCTTAGCTGAAGGTGCTGATAGGATCTGGGGGCATGGTTAGAAGAAGTAGGTCATTGGGAGTGCACCTTTGAAGGGCACATCTCCCTCTGGCTTTTCCCCTGCTCCCTGCTTCCTGGCTGCCATGGGTTGAACAGCTTCCTGGGTACCACGAGTTAGGCGCCTTTCCTCCGCCATGATGCTTATATTTTAAGCCAGTTGCCATGGACTGAAACCACATGCCAAAGTAATCCTTTTTTCCTTTAAGCTTCACATATTAGTTATTTTGTCCCAGCACTGGGAAAGCCAACCAATATACCCCCCCAAAATGTGAATGGCCGTGGAGCTAAGGACAAGAGGAAATGGATATTCTCCACCCTCCCTAAAAACAGGACATAGATTTAGAAAGACAAAATTTCTTACACCTTCTCCCAGGAGGAACAAAGATTAAACACTAATAGCAATTTAGGACCCTTAGAGACCTAGACATGGTGCTA